GCTCCTGTGCAGATACAGCCAGAGCAGTACAGAAGAGGTGATTCGTGTGGCAGGAAATGGGGCAGGTCTCAGTGCTCCTGTGTCAGAGGTTGCCCATGTGTGTCAGGAGAAGACAGCCCAGCTGCCTGCGAAATGGGAATGAAAGGAAACTTACAGGAAAATAAACAGATCCTTCTGTCCATCCACCCCAGTCCTTGCAGCTCAGCACTCACTCCCCAAGGTAACCCTTATGTGCCTTGTTGCTAAATGTGTGGCAGCTGCAGTCAGCTTATTTTTTTGTCTGGAGTGGGTGATGGCAGTGGTACCTCAGGTGTCAGAGCTTGCGTTTGGCATTCTAATGTATCAGGATTTCCTAGGGAAGGACTGAGAAATTATTTCAGACAGTTTTCCTGTTGTGTGCTGTGCTTGTGCTTCCAAAGCTCACACCTAGGGAAGATTCCTTCTTGTGCTCCACTTCCAGCATCAAGTCTCCCCCTTGGAACAGAGCATCTCACAGATCCTCCTGTTGCTAAGCCATGTGGATACCAATGGGAGCCGTGTACACAAGGGAGGGTGGCAGGAAAAAGTGCATTGCCTTAAAGACTGGATTCTCCCTCATCATATATCTACGTGTGTGCAAGGTTGAAGTGCAATTATTCCATGTATGTCAGACATGAATATATTGTCAGAAAAGTTTTTTTTCCAAGGTACATCCTGTTTGCCTGTGTATGGAAGGACACCTTGAGCCCCTGTAATGAAAGAAAAGAAGATGGAAGAAAGGTTTAAAGATAAAACTGTGGGGTTATGTTTCTAGTTCTCTTATCTCATGATGACAGTTTTCTACACATTAATTCTGCCTTCTCTTCCACTGCTCTCCTCATCTGTAAAATATTGCTGTCCCCTGGGGACTTCTCTATGGAAGCTCTAATAAATATTTTACAAATGCTAATGAATCAGGTCACCCAACAGCTCAGTACATCATTGTCCTCACTTTGCAGGCAGGGTTTTGGCAAAGGCAAGAGCAGGGGACGAGCAACTTCGTGCCATCCAGAAAACCTTTTTGGGCGGGGGAGGGTAGCCACAAATCTTTTACCTTAGGAGTGGAAGTGCTCTTCATAGCTTTCTTTTGTCCAAAGGAAAGGTCCTGAGACTCACTTCTTCTCAAGTCTGGTAGCTGTTTGACTGTATGATCAGTTTGTATGTGATAGGTTAGGAAGTTTAAACAGCTCTCACTGTGTGGCTGAGGAGCAGCAAAGCTGGTGGGGGAGAAGCTGCAAGTTTGTGGAACAGGAAAGAAGGAGTCAATTGACTTGTGTATGCTTCAGCTTACAGGCATTCAGTGCAGCCCAGATAGTTATTCACCATTTTAGTAACAGCACCATGTGAGGCTTTTTTCTCCTTGACATCTTTGTCACCTCTAGTTAATTCTCTAGTTTTGGATAAAAGCCTTCTTCTTTCCTACTCCATGTCTAGGGTGTCCATGTCTAGATCAGCTGTGACCTGAGCAGGCCATGAGCTGAATAACAATGGATAAAACTATGTATAGTGCCAACAGGTGCTAGTTATTGAGGCAGAGAAAGGCAGAGGTTCTTGGTCTGTATATAAGATCCTTGCAGGAAGATTGTTCTATGCTCAGGTCCCTGCTGTTGAACTCTGGGTGGCAGCTTAGTCCCAATTCATTGGGTTCTCATTGTACTCTTTGCACTGTCACCAGTGCTGGCCTTGTGCCTGTTATGCATCTCCTGTGCAGTCCCCTCCCGATCCCAGGGAAGGCTCCTTTTATTTCACCGCATCAGGATTGAGTGCTCTCAATTCTCAAGTTCCCTGAGCACTAGTTTCTTCACAAGGCTCTCTGATCAGTGATTTGTATTTTAGGAATTGTTAAAAAGGAAAAATGTCAACTTACATTTCCAGCCCCTTCAAAGAGAGATTTCTAAATGTATGTTTCAAATCTCTCATTTTGGTGTCACACTGAGGGATCCAATTTCTTTTTATTAAAAAGTTGGGTGGGGGGTTGCACAGCTAGTAGAGCATATCTACCAGCAATATTTCCCTTGTCCACCATTTGCTACTCTGTTCATTTAGATTATCAGATCTTATGAGCAGGGACTGTACACAGCAGCAGAGGGCTTTTCTGTACAGCTGCAGCCTCCCAGTGCCACTGCCAGACATATGAGTAATTGGCTGAGCAGCTCTGCAGAGCAGTCTCCTTGCACTGTCCAAGCTGAAATGCAGAGGTAAAAAAATCTGTTCTCAGAGATGAAGAATCATAAAATCCTAAGCCTGAAAGGGACCAAAAATCATGAAGAAAAACCTTTTCTCAGGGAAAAATTCTTTGTGAGCATATCTGTCATGCTTTTAAGAGTCATTCTGTGATCTTGCAACCTGCTTCTGGGATCTTCTCTCTTCATTGTTGCTTATAAGACAGCTTTAAATTAATGATAAGGAAGCCATTCAGGGCATGGGCTGTGCTGAGGTTCACAGCTTTCATTCTGAATGAGAGATTAAAGTAAACTGATATTGAAAGCAAGGAGAGAGAAACAAACACAGGCAGTAAGCCTATAAAAGTCTTAGCCAATTGCGATGGCGAACATCCTGCTGGCGAGGGTGACCTTGAATGAACTAAGTGGGATAAAGTCACCAGCCTGGACTGACGGCTGAAGAATCAGGCTGGATTCCAGCAAACAGAGAGCAGATTCCTCACAAGAGTCTCCTGAGCCATGGCAATGGCTTCTCGGTGTCGGAAATGTGGACAACAGGTACCCAGGAATGCACCTTTCACCGCTGTCCGGATAACAGAGGGGGAAATGAAATCTTACCATGATTTTATAGGAGGATGCGTTAGACTGGAGCGCATGGCAAAGAGAGGTATGTGCAGCATCTTTTAGCAAAATAGCATCTTCTCCTAGTGGTAGCTGCATTGCCTTCCTAGGCAATTTGCAAAAAGAAATTATATTCCTAATGCTTTCTCTGAGGAGTCAGTGATAAATAAGGGCAACTGGCTGGATTTGGATATTAACTCAGGTGTGACTGCAGCATTTGAGTTGCCTGTATGTTTCTGGGGTATTTGCAGTGATTTGACCTAAAGGAGGTTAAAATGAATGTTAGACCCTTTCTGAATAAATATTTATTTCACTCGGGGGTTAGGCACTGAGTTTTCTGTTTATGTCAGGAGCAGGTATTTGCTGTGCTTGGAAAATACTTTGAAATGAATGTAAGAAGCTGGGGCAGTGGGGTTCATGACCCAGGTCAGCCTGTCACCCTGTGCTCCTAAATTACTACGTAGAAGGTCATTATCTTTCTCTCTGTAATGATTACTGTTTCACTGTGCTCAGTTGGACTATGGATCTTTTCATGCTCTGTGTGAGACAGCCTGGGTATAGGGCAGTATTTCACTCTCAGTGGGTTGCTAGTATAAGATGCTGGTGTCCTGGCAATTTGTGCTAACTGCATGTTAACTCTGAAGTGGAGTGATGGTAGTTGAAATCTAGGCTGCTGACTGTTTAGTCTCGTATCAAGATTGCTGAATCATAGAACACTTTTTATCTCTGTGTCATATGAGGGAAAGATTAACCAAAGAGCCCTTTGGTTTAATTTGCTCTGTTAACTTGAATAAATACTTAGTAAATCTCAAATCCAAAAATTTATAACATGTTCACTAGTATGTGGTGAAAAGATCCCTAAAAACATGCAATATGGTTGTGCTTTCAAGTTGAATTGTTGATTTTGATTTAATTAGCTCTTCAGCAAAGAGAGTTGCATTCAATCTGGTAAACCGAGAATATTCTGCAGAAAAAAGAGGTGTCCCAGAAGCAGGACATGAACTGGCAGCTACTGCTCACAAACTGGGATTTTCAGATACTTTCTTTAATAGGGCTCTAATGCACAATGTCAGGGCTTGAAAACTGCAAAGCCAGTCCATTGTACCTCTGCTTCTCTGGGTGATCCATCCATGCTGATCTTTGGGCTCAGCGCCTACCTATGCATTGTGGTATTTGGCTGACCTTTCAGTAACACTGATGTTTCCAGTTGCAGTCTTTGTACTGAGGCATTCCAAGTTCAGCCCAGCATGGCAGAAATGTCTGGTATCTGAGTAAAAGACAGCACAATTCAGTGAAGTTCCTTCCTGAATGTTTGATCAGGTGCTTCCAGGTTGCTTACGGCTCTGGGGGCCTGTGGGCCTGTTGGAGGCAGAGCTCAGGCATCTGCTGTTCTTTTTGTTCCTGGAGGTAGAAAGGGGAAGAGACTAGTAAGAGCTTTGCCATGGTTACTGTTCCCAGGGAAACACCTTTCCTGCCTCTCATGTTAACAGACTACCTGGCATAGTATTATGGACAGAAATCCCTTGGAAAATAGAGAACAGATTGTGTGTCAAATCAACCTAAACCTGTGGCCATTTTGTGAGACAGAAAACACCTTCGCTGCTTTAGTTTTATGAAGCTACTGGAGGAGCAGACATTTGGTTATTGCTAGGGACAAGGTGCCTTCAGATGCAGGTGTTAGAGCTGTGTGAACTGTGAGAACACACCAGGGCAACTCTGTGTGCAATGACAATGCTAGAAGGGTGCTAAGGAGCTGGCAAGGTGGCACAGGAATTCATAACAACACTGCCTGGGTTCTTCTGCTCTCAACTGACTCTGACTCTGCTCATCTTTGGTCTTGTTTTGGCCTGTGATTTCTTATCTGTAAAGCAGGAATAAAAAAAAAAAGAGGATCCTAATGATGTAGTTATGACCACACTTTGATGATTAGACCACTTTGCCTTTGTAGTCTGTGCTGCATAAACAGAGGAAGAAAGATGATCTGTCCCAGAGAACTTGGATTCTGCCTGCCCTATCTCACTAGTCCTACTAACAAAGACTCACTGATAAACTTCAGGAGTGGATGTGTGTCTTTTTCTCAGGCTGACTATGTCTGAACATAGTGGCAATGCAGGATCATGGATCCCTGTGGCGTGTTCTGACTTACCATCACTCAGGGATACCCTTTTTGCCATATAAAGATCCAGCTCAAGTGTTGCTGAGGACTAATTGGCTGGTGCTTGTTCAGTGCTTCAGGCATTCCAAAATATGAAGCATTTTTCACATACAGACCAAGTCTGTAGAGCCCTGTGAATATTCTGTGTCATTTTTGTCTCATGTATTAGGTACCATGATGAGAAGAGATGGAAGACACACAGGTAACTACAGCAGAAATAGAGGCCACGTGGTCACAGTGGCCTGCAGTAACCTGCCTTTGATCAGCAGTACCCCCCAGCAAGCAGCACTGTGCCAAGCTATTCCAGTTCCTGGGTCATGCAAGTTTCAAGGCTTCCTTTGAATCAGTGTGATTTGTTTTGATGAGTGGTTAAAAGTGTGGTTGTAGGGTCATGTAAAGAGATGAAAATAGTGAATGCTTATAAAAAGAAAGTGCTGCTGTGAGGGACCAGCTGAAGGGCAGTTTCCTTATGGCCACATGCTGCCTGCTGAGAGCTCCACAGCCCCAGCTCCCTGCAACAGGCTATATGAGCTGACCTGCAGGCACTGAAGGTCCCTCTGGGGTCTGATGTACAAATGGTGCTATTTTGAGTATCAGTACATGACGTTGAGACTTCTCTGGGAGCTGCAGCTTCAAGATGCTAGTTATAGCACAGTTAGGAGCCCCCTGAAAGCCAGGCAAGAAATGTGGCAGGGCCTCCAGTCCAGGGCTAATCCTCCTTGGAGTGCTCTCAGTTCCTCATCAAACACATACTGAAGCTGAAAGCAAAGCATAGCCTCTTGTCATGAAATACATCATTCTTGGACAGTGGGTCATGTGCCTTTTCAGCACTGACATGACTATTCATGTCACCCAGCTGCTGGTTAACATATTTTATGCTAGAGGACACCTCCTGCCAAGCTGGCCCCCTCTGTCCCCAGATGCTCCTAATTAGCCTGCCTTGTTGTGATGCTTGAGTCCTCCAATGGGACCACACACCTACGGGGGCTTTACATGGATTAATGATCCTTGGCTGGTTAGACTATGTCTCTGCATGCTGTGGAGCTTGAGGCTGCATACAGATCATATATTTTTAAGGGAATAAATGTGTGTTTTTCATCTGTGCTCAAGGCTGGTGACTGCATGAATCAGAGTAATGAATCTGCAGACACTAAGGAGTATGCAGTTCATTACTGAGGCAATTCAGGATTTTGCCATTGCTGCAAAATGAAGCAAGAGCCTCCTTGCCAGTAGCATGGAGACCTGTCTCTCGTGCTAACAGTGTTTCCAATTTTGTCCTCTGTAGGGCAGAAGAATGTTTCAGTTCTGTCTGTCCAGCACCTTGTTCTCAGTCCTACGACTGCTGTCTCTCTCCTACTGCTGGAGTTGAAGACCAATTCTTCAGATCAGTCTGTTCAGGGAGGAAAAGGGACTGAATTATTGGAGCAGTTAAGGAGCTATGGTGCTATCTCTGCAAGGAAATCCCATCTGAATTGAGTTTGGACTGAAATTTCTTGGACTTTTTTCAGCTTCTCCACCTTCAGTAGTAAAATAAATGAGAAATGCTTTCAGTTCCCACATGGCTGACCCTCCCACAAAGCTGCTAGTTACTGAAGAAAGTGACTATTTCAAGTGAAGACTGAAATCTGCAGTGTAAGTGGAAGATAAACCCTTTGAGGCTCAGTCATAGTGCCTCCCTGTGAATTGTTGAAAAATTTCCTTGTTTCATTTGCATTCAGTATCTCTTCTCCTCTTTAATACAAAAAGCTACCTAGGGAACATTTTTTTCAGCTGGCTCTCACTGCAAAGAAAATAGCTAAAATATAATATTCTGTTTTCCACAGAGGTTTTTATAAGAAAAGATCCTTGGATGTTTGTGTCTCTTTCCACCTGTTCCCATTGATATGCTCTGCTGTGGTTGAGCAATACCACAAAAAATACCCTGTTTACCTAATCAGAAAAGTCAGAGAATTGTGAGGGAAACAGGGAAGGTATAGCTTGATTTCCATTTTAAAAGAATTTTGAGTGATAAGTTGTACATAGATGAAAAGAACAAATCCTCAGAGGGCAAGTTATAGCAGAGGCCTTCTGGGTATTTATGTTTTTCCCTTTCTCCCATGATACCAGAATAAACAACTCAGTGAAATGGAAAAGCATTAAACATAGATAGACAGATTGCTGTAATTGGCAGTGTTTTGTTAACTTGTGGGACTTATTACCACAATATAATAGCACAGTTTGCATCTTTTGTATTGCCTAAATTGTAGTGTAAACTGTCTGGGGAGAAGATTTCAAGGAAAAATGGTGCTTGAATATACTGGGAGGTTGGAGAGCATCTGTGCAGAGCTCTCACACTGGTTATGCCCACGGAGCTTGTTCTCCAGTTTCAGCCAGTTCTGCTGTTTCGAGCCCCACTTAAAGACCCAGTTCTGCTGTTATAATGGATTTATCTTTTATACTAATTGTGTGGCTGCTTTATTACCTGAATCTCGCTGTGGATTAGCCTGCCCAGTGAGGTTTCTAGGCCATGGACTTTCCTTCTTCACCACCTGCATGTTACCTAGAAGAATTACTTGTGCTCAAGTATGAAATAATGATAAATTTTGGTTGTAGCAGCCCAGCTATATATGAATATTTGGGCTATGCCAAGTGTCTTGTTGCACAAATTTCTGATCCGATTAGTTAATTCCATTTTTCAAGGGGAAAAAAATCCTCCAGGCTTTTACAACAGATAAAAATTATTGACCAAACATTTATTTTTTCACCTTTTTCTAAGCCAGAATATCTCAGAATCTTCATCCTGCACAGATTCAGTGCCTTATTCATATTCAAAACCTGTTCCTATGAGTCATTAAATTGGGCATTGCTGAGTTCAGGCTACTTGTCTAAACTCTTGAGTCACTACCTTGAGA